CCGGCACGTCCGTGCCCGGGTGCGGCATGTGCATCTTGGGGATCGCCCGCGCAGGTGCCGACCACGTCAGCGCCCTCCACGCATCGGCCCAAGACGCGGGATCTTGCAGCCAAACTGCTGCAGCCTGACTCTTTCCGCGGACGTCGTCGCGCTGGTGGCACTGGGACAGGTCCAGCCATGCCACAGCGGCCCTTCGAGCTTGGCCGCGAGATCGGTGATACCACCACCTAGAACGCTACAGTCCCACAGCATGACAGCACCCATAACCGACCACAACCTGCTTTTCTCAGGACTTGTCTACTTTTCTATCTAACACGTTATATAATTTTGAAAGGGTGGGGCCGGCAGCTGAGAGCCACAAAAAAACTGGAAGTTTCTGGAAGGTCTTGCAAGTTTATGCCGACAGACACCTTTTCCGTCCAGCGAAAACCACATTTCTCTTGGGGTGGAGGGGGGGGGGGTAACTACGTTCCTGGCCCCCCAACTTCCAAAACCTAAAACCCCAATACCTTCAAACACCGAGCCCTGGAATCTCTCCCAAACCTCAACAAATTTTAGGCAGCTTAGGGTTTGGGGGTTTCTGTTTCGGGGCTTAGAGTTGAGGGTTTAAGGTTTGAGGGTTTTTGGGTTCGATCCCAAAATTTGAAACCCAAAATCCCAAACAGTCCACATCTTCACTCTAAACCCCAAAGCCGAAGCCCAAAATCCCAGCTATCCTCACCCTAAACCGCAAGCAAACCCAAAGCCCTCAATCCCAAATGTCTCCAGCCTAAACCCCAATCCCACTGCCCAAAAATCTCTCGCCTCAACCCCAAGGCCAAAGCCCAAAATCCCAAATATCTCCCCCAGAATCCGAAACCCAAACTTCAAATATCTCCGCCTTAAACCCCAGACCACAAGCCCGCGATCCCAAATAGCTCCAGCTTACACCCCAAACCAACAGCCCAAACTTCTAACATCTCACGACATGACCTGGAACCAAAACCTCAAGAAGAAAAAACAAAAAATGTCGTAAATTTAGGGCTTTCCTGAAAACGCGATTTTTGCCGGAAGCCTGGCAGGCGTCTCAAAAACATTCCGAGAACCCGGCGCGTGCTTCACACAAAACCTATGGGTTTTGCATCATCCAGAAACACATAGCTGTTCAGACACTGGTTTTAACATAAAAAAAAAAAATCGCTGGGACCTAGGTAAAAACCATCAGTTCCATGAAAAGCAAGGACCAAAGGAGGAACCCGTAGAAAGTGTATGGAAGTTGCGGAACCTTTGGAGCCACAAGAAGTCAGTTAAATCAACCCTGAACCCCGAACCCTAAACCCCAAACCCTAAACCCTAAACCCTAAACCCTAAACCCTAAACCCTAAACCCTAAACCGTAATGGCCTAACCTAAGCCCCAAAGACGAATACGCTAGGGCGGCTTGCCGCCTTGGACGTCGTGGGGCGCATCTTGTTTTTGCCACCCGCAGGGATCATCTTTTTTAGTGCAAACGGTTTAGGGTACACTGTACCATACTATACTCGACTAGACCAGATTACACTACACTACACTAGACTACACTATACTATACTACACTACACAATATACTATACATAGTGTCAGGCCTGGGCGTTTGCCCGCGCTTTTTTGGGGAAATGCGTGTTTTACTCGAAAAAAACGTTTTCGCAGGTTTCGGCTAGGGGACATGAAACTTCGAAGTTCCGTGTTGAAGGTTTGGGGAGTACAGGCCAAGTTGGGGAGCATCAGCAAGCACAGCAGACGAGAGGAAGGTCTACTAGTTTACTCGAGAAAAACCGAGGTTTTTAGGGCTTTCCTGAAAACGCGATTTTTGCCGGAAGCCTGACAGGCGTGTCAAAAACATTCCGAGAATGCGGCGCGTGCTTCACGCAAAACCTATGGGTTTTGCATCGTCCAGAAAAACATAGCTGTTCAGACACTGGTTTTAACATTAAAAAAATCGCTGGGACTCCTCTTCCCCGAACCCCGTGGAAACCCCAAAAAAATGATATTTGGGCCCCAATTAAAATGTGGGAAAAGAGACATGTTCACACAAATGAAACAACCACTCCTGAAGTGGAAAACTAAAAACCTCGGTTTTCTCGAGTAAACTAGACCTTCCTCTCCTCTGCTGTGCTTGCTGATGCTCCCCAACCTGGCCTGTACTCCCCAAACCTTCAACACGGAACTTCGAAGTTTCATGTCGAAAACCCCCCTAGCCGAAACCTGCGAAAACGTTTTTTTCGAGTAAAACACGCATTTCCCCAAAAAAAGTGCGGGCAAACGCCCGTCCCCTGCCCTATATTTCGTACATAGTATACTGTACTAAAATACAATGCTACACAGTGTACTAGACGAAACTTTGAACCCTGAACCCTAAACCCTAAAGCCTCAACCCTAAACCCTCAACCCGAAACCCTGAACCCTCAACCCTAAACCCTAAACCCTAAACCCTAAACCCTAAACCCTGAAAGGACCCTAACCTCCCCCCCCTCCTGGGCTTGCCTCGGCCGCAGCGACAGCCCAAGATCCCTGCCGGTGCCCCAGGAAAGGGGAGCCAGGGACCTGTCGCAGCTCAAGGAGGCTTAGTTTAGGGTTTAGGGTTTAGGGTTTAGGGTTTAGGGTTTAGGGTTTAGGGTTTAGGGTTTAGGGTTTAGGGTTTAGGGTTTAGGGTTTAGGGTTTAGGGTTTAGGGTTTAGGGTTTAGGGTTTAGGGTTTAGGGTTTGGAAACTATAGGGGGGGAGGGTTTAGGGTTTAGAGTTTCAGTAGGGTCGAGGGTTTCGGGTTTACACCCTAAACCCCTAAACCCCCTCGCCTCCAAACCTCGCCCAGCGCCCTCAGCCGCCCCTGTGCGTCGAAGACCTGGACAACTCAGGGGGCTTTCTGGGGCTTTATGGGGTGGTTTCGGGTTCAGGGTTCAGGGTTCAGGGTTCAGGGTGTTTCGGGCTTTGGGGGGCTTTGGGTTGGGGGCTGGTGGTTTGGGGCCTTGGGGCCTGCTGCCGGGGGGTGGGGGGGGAGGGGTTAGGTTGGGAAGGTTTTTTGTTTTTTGTTCTTTTGTTTTTTTTTTTTTCTTTTTTTTTTGGGGGGGGGCGGGCTTTAGGACTCAGGGATTAGGGATTTGGGGGTTTTCGGGTGTAGGGGCTTGCTGTTGAGGCTTTGGGTACGTGGCACCTGCCTGATGGTCCATACATCACATTGCACGAAAGCTACAAGCACTTGGAGGCTCATGGTGCTTATTCACCAATTATAGAATAACTGTACGTATAACTGTACTTATCATCTTTTTAGGGCACTCAAGGGGCTTATAAGTGTGTTACACATCCAGTTATAATTGGTTAATAAGTACCCCTAAACCCTAAACCCAAAACCCCAAACCCGAAACCCTAAACCCTAAACCCTAAACCCTGTAACTACCATGAACCTCCAAGTGCACAAACCCCGAGGGCGCGGCATAGTGCCGAGCGTGAAAGGCATCAGTGTAGACATCCTGGTTGTCCTTGCGCGGCTGAGGGACTTGTCACAATTCTGGGCCCATGTTGGCACGATTTAGGGTTTAGGGTTTAGGGTTTAGGGTTCAGGGTTTAGGGTTTAGGGTCTAGGGTTTAGGGTTCAGGGTTTAGGGTTTAGGGTCTAGGGTTTAGGCTTTAGGGTTTACGGTTTAAGGTTTAGGGTTTAGTTTTTGGGGGCCTGAAGCCCTAAAGCGCTGAACCCCGAAAGCCCCCTAAAGGCCAAACGCTTAAACACCTACGCCACGAAACCCTGCTTGGAGCTTCATGGGTAGTTCTAACTCCCAAATAAAAGCCGGATCCCTATAAAACCTAGCATCAGAAAATCCTGACTACACCCTATCAAACCCCACAACTTCAGCACCCTAAACCCTAAACCCTCTTGCCTCCCATCGGAATCCGGTGGGCTCGAGGCCGGGTCTTTCGCCCGAGTCGTCCGCTGCGATGGGCTGGACAACGCCTGCGGTTTGGAGTCTAGAGTGCGGGGTTTGGGGTTTGGGTTGAAGATTAAGGACTTAGGGTTGAGGCTCTACTGGGATGTTCATTGGTCTCGAAAGAAGGGTCATCTGTTTTATGTAATCCCAAAAAAAGTGATGATCAGCCACAACAAAAAACTAACCCTACCCATGAGCCTCTAAGTAGGGTTGGGGTTTCGTGCTCAAGTCTACAGTCACCCTATTTTGAAACGGGTACATTGTGTAAACCTCAGCCACAACCTCAAGCTCAAGCTGCCTCACCTGCGCACGCTTGGACGTTCACAGGAGGCCGTAGCGAAACCGGGGTTTTGATTAGGGCACTAGAGTTTAAAGCTGGTTTTAACATGGCTTGAGCAGCAGACGTATAACCCACCCCTGATACTTCACTGGTACACCCTAAATCCTCGACCTTTGAACCTTTTTGTCCAAAGCATGGGTGCCTCAGGAGCCTTAAGGGGGTCATGGCAGAAGGAAGGGGGGGGGGTGGGTAATTCCTAGGTGGATTTCGAATAAAACCTAGGCCACCCAAGCAAACCTAAAATGACGGGACAGGACCCTTGTCAAGGACCCTACGGGGACCCATCTGAACCCTCTTTTTTTAATCCCAACATTTTGGGCTCCTCCAGCCTTGGAGGATTTAGGATTTTAGGATTGGGCTATTTGGCATGTTCTAAGTGGCGCTTGAGAGGTGTCAGAAGTTACACCAGGGAACAAGCTTCAGAAACCTCAGACATGCCCCAGGCCCGGAAACTGCGGATCTTTTCTGGGGCCTGCATGGTGCAGCGCGCACTGTACTGCAGAAAGATGTCACTGTAGCATACGGTGGCACTACAGTGCATGCTACAGTAGGATGTTGCGCATATACTTCATGACGAAGTCCTGGGAACAGAATACAAGTGAGACAGCCACATGCGAGATGCAGCAACAGCAACATTGAACATCTTATGCATCTCGCATCTACACCGATGTTTGGAAAGCACCGATGCGTATATCTCGCACGTATTGTACACAGATACTGTGGTCTACCTCTGAAAAGGTTGTCTGCCTCTGACGCTAGGTTCCCATCCATTCCCATAGCGCCGTAATTCTTTTCGATCTCTCTCTTTTACCCGTGCCCAAATGTACACATCATGGTTCGGGTCACGGGACCTCCTGACGTGCTCTTGATGCCGCTTCAAGCACCAAAGCCGGCGATTGTCCAAGCTGTAGACCAAATCCTCCTGGTAGCGTCGTCCGGCCCACCAAACTCGGACATCGAGATGCAGGAATTCTTCAGTCGGACTGATGGCCCCCATGTTCAAACCATGAACCAAGTCTTCAAGCCTTCTGCCATCTTGAAAATGACTGGACACCGACATTTGCGAGTAACGCACGGAGTCGACCCGAAACCACCACCCGTAGCTGTCGCCTGGATCCCTCTGCTGCTGCTGTTGCTGCTGCTGCTGCTGCTGCTGCTGCTGCTGCTGCTGCTGCTGCTGCTGCTGCTGCTGCTGCTGCTGCTGCTGCTGCTGCTGCTGCTGCTGCAGCAACTGCGGCAACGCCTGCTGCATCAGTGACTCCTCGGGGTGTGATGCTTGCGGCGATTGATGTGGCTGCTGCGAGTGCTCCACCACTTGCAAGATGATCTCCGTCTCTCCCCCTTTGCTGTTGCAAACCTTGACAATACCATCCTCTTCATACCACCTGTCCGATGTCCCTGCAGGGGACGCGGGCGCTGCCATGGCATGCCCGCCCTCACCAATGTACATGAGCCAGTGCTCACCCTCATAACACCAGCGGTTGACCAGCCAGAAGTTGCCATCACCGGTGTAAGCCTTGACCCACATGGCCGAATGCCACTCGGGTATGACGCGCTCATCATCCAAGGGCTTGCCAAGCATACGCCTCTCCATGTGCAGTTTGAAAGCCGGGTCTCGCGACGTGCTCTTCGCAGCACGCACAAACCCAAGGTGACCCAAAAAGGGAACATCCAGCTCGAGCCTTTGGCTCGCCCGCTTTGTCTCCTCAAGATGCTGACCGAATGCCTCGCTGCCACAAGTAGGCATGCTGCAGAGCCCTCGCAGTACCCCAGAGAGGGCCAGGCCCAGGAAGCATGCTCTCTTCCGCTTCTCTTTGTTGCTGCCCGTGCCCGCAGCACAGAGGCCTGCACAAGGACCTTCTAGTACATGAGCAAGGGATGCCCATGGTTCATCTCGAATCCTGATGTCAAACTTTGGCGTTACGTGCAGCAGCTCCATGCACCACCTCGTTGCTGCTTGCGCATGCGGGTGCTTTTCATCGAGGACATCAACCAGCACGACCTTAGAACACCGATCCGGCGTCAACACGCAGGACACGTTCATGGCGGGCGTTCTACTAAACCCTAAACCTAAACCTAAACCTAAACCCTAAACCCAAACCCCCAAACCCTAAACCTAAACCTAAACCCTAAACCCTGAACCCCTAACCCTAAACCCTGTCCATTCAATCGCGTTGGGGCTTAGGGTCGGCGAGGGCTTCAGGCTTCTCTGGAGGCAACTACCGTTCATGGTAGGACCCTGACACAAGGACTCCCTGAAAGCCCTAAACCCTAAAGCCCTAAACCCTAAGCCCTAAACCCTAAACCCTAAATCCTAAACCCTAAACCCTAAACCCTAAGCCCTAAACCCTAAGCCCTACTGCGTAACACAAAAAAGCCGCACCCTGTCCAGCTCTGGGCTCTGAGGGCTCTGGGCCGAAAAGTTCGGCGAAGAACTAAGGCTTCTTTTTCAAACACCCTCAACCCTAAACCGGTTTAGGGTTTAGGGTTTAGGGTTTAGGGTTTAGGGTTTAGGGTTTAGGGTTTAGGGTTTAGGGTTTAGGGTTTAGGGTTTAGGGTTTAGGGTTTGAGTTTAGGGAGTTTGGGTTTGAGTTTAGGGAGTTTGGGGTTCAGAGCTTGGAAGGCTGCCAATAGCACAAGAGGCAACAGGCTTCCCTTCCAAAATAAGCATTCCCCTGCGAACCTCCGTCGCGGGGATCTTCACAGCAGAACAGCTGGTCCTGGGAAGCGGTCGTCCTTATCCCGTAAGCCCCAAACCCCTTAACCCGCAGAATTTTGTGAAATCCGGACAGCCAAGCGCCAAACACCCCAGCAGCCCATGAAACCAACAGCATGCGTTACTTCACGGTAGCATTCTTATTGCAATTTTAGGGTTTAGGGTTCAGGGTTTATGGGGCTTAAGGTGTAGGGCTTAGGGCTTCATGGTAGGTTGAAGGGTTTAAGGGTTTAAGGGTGTAAGGGTTTACTGGTTCAGAAAGGGTTTCATGGTCGGCTCTCTCAGTAAGGGTTTAGGGTTTAGGGTTTAGGGTTCAGGGCTCAGGGTTTAGGATTTAGGGTGTAGGGTTTAAGGTTCAGGGTTTAGCACTCATGCCAAGAGCCGAGCTTGGGAGCTTGGTGTACTGCACCATTGTTGGGATACGATGTTAAACATGATCATGTTTGTTCCTTTTGGGGTTTAAGTATTCATAAAGATGTAAAATGTTAGCCCTACTTGAATGAAGATGTGCAGCTGCCGCTGGCAGGCTGAGGACAAGGCTCAAGTGCCCGAGCTAACTTATGCTAAAATTATTTTAGCATGGCAATTTTCAACAATGACCCAGTGTAGATGTCGGAACCCAGGTAGAACCGCTCAACCCCAAACCCAAAAACCCAAAACCTAAGACCAAAAACCCTTAATCCCTAAGCCGAAAACCCCAAGCCCTAAACCAAAAACCAAGAACCCTAAGTCCAAAACCCGAGTTTTAGGGTTACAGCCCCGAGCTTAGAGGGGGTTCGCGCTTCATTCAGGGCCACAGCTCCTGAATCCACCTAAACCCCAAACCACAAACCCTAAATCCTAAACCCTTAACCCCTCCCTAAACACTAAACCCCAAACCCCAAACACCAAACCCCAAACCCGGGCCGAGAATGTCAACCCAGAATGTCAAAACCTGAACAACCCGCGACAACAAAGCGTAGCCTTCTGATCCTGCTAAGGCGAAACCCCAAGGTTGCGGGTTTTGAGGGTTTTGGGTTTAGGGTTTGGGGTTTGGGGTTTGGGGATTCGGGTTTCGGGTTTAGGGTTTAGGGTTTTTGGTTTAGGGTTTTTGGTTTAGGGTTTTGGGTTTTGGGTTTTGGCCGGTTCAAAGGTTAGCCCCTGAACTTAGAGAGTTGAGGGGTGTACGGCTTGAAGCAGACGGGAGGCTCGGCTGGTTTAGGGTCTGGGGTGTAGGGTTCTGGGTTGAGGTCTTAGGGTTGAGGGCTTAGCCCTAAACCCTAAACCCTGAACCCTGAACCCTAAACCCTAAACCCTAAACCCTAACCCTAAACCCTAAACCCTAAACCCTAGACCCTAAACCCTAAACCCGTTTAGGGTTCAGGGGGCATCCTCGAAGTAGTCGCCCAGGAAGGCTCCGAGCCTCGAGAAAACTCTCTTGGAGGAGATTCGATTCTGACGTGTGGGAGTTCGATTCCTATTGCGATGTAAGGGTTTCGGGTTTAGGGCTTAGGGTTTAGGGTTTAGGGTTTAGGGTTTAGGGTTTAGGGTTTAGGGTTTAGGGTTTAGGGTTTAGGGTTTCGGGTTTAGGGTTTAGGGTTCAGGGTTCAGGGTTTAGGGTTTAGGGTTTAGGGTTTCATGGTCGGTTTAAGGCCTTAAGGCTTTCAGGCTTTATTGGCTGCAAAATGTTGAGGCGTTACGGGCTTCAGGGCATTTAAGGCGTTAAGGGCTTCATGGGGCTTAGAATTTAGGATTTCAATGGTTGGTTTTAAGGGTTGAAGAGTGAGGGAGCTTAGGGCTTAGGGTTTAGGGAGTCTAGGATTCTAGGCTATGGCGTGGGACTCAGCCAGCTGCCATGCAGCTCTGTACTTGAGATCCGCCCTAGAACAGCCTGTTGAGGGCGTGCTCGTCGGCCTCTTGACTTGAGCATACTTCAAAGTACTCAAGGAGCACCCCCCCTCCATTGCTGACACGCAGCCCACAATCCGGCTAAACCCGAAACCCTAAACCCTAAATTCTGAGAGTGCAACCTCATGGGCCCGCAAAAAAAGGCACTGAAATGGCCGGCCTTCCATCGGCATTGGAGTAGAGGAGGAACTCCTCAGTCTGCCATGGGTCCCCTGACTCCCAAACCCCCCAGGGTTTCGGGTTTCGGGTTTAGGGTTTAGGGAGGCAGCAAGCTGAAACCCACGAAGGAAAAGGAGAAAGACCTCGAAGAACCGTCGTCTCGTAAGCACCAGCCAAGAACAAACAGAAGGAGGTAAACTTTGCGCGCCTGCCCCAAACCCTAAATGCTAAACCCTAACCCCCGGACCCTAAACTCTAAACCCATCTCAGCCGGGGCGCGTTGGCGAAGTTGATCAAGGAGAAGTTACCCTTGTCATCCCGGTCCAGCACCTTCCACCAATGCTCCTAGGACCGGGTTCACAGTCTAGGTCCTACGGACTTGAGGTGTTACGGGTTTCGGGTCTAGAGCTTGGGTTTGCAGTCTAAGGTTCAGGGGGCTAGGGTTTCAGGGTTTTAAGCGTTGAGCAAAGAATGTCTCGTGCCCACAGGCGAGGCCCTGCAACCTTGACTCCCCCAAACCACCCCGCCCCGAAAACCCTGAACATAAAGCATTCAAAACCCAAGCCAGGACTGACAACCCTAAACGCCCAGCCGCTAAAACCCTAAACCCCAAACACCTTGAAACCTACCTAAAGAAAACCCTACACAACCTCGACCCTGGAAACCCAAAACCCACTAAACCCTAAACCCAAAACGACCCCAAAAAAAACAAGAAAAACAAACAAACCCCAAGCCCTGAACCCGCACTAAACCAAACCCCAAACACCCTATACCTCTAAAAGCCCTAAACCCGAAACCCGAAACCCTAAACCCTAAACCCCTCAAAGCCCACACCGCGAAACCCAGCAGGGCAAAAGCTCCTCGAAGTCGCCATGGTAGCAGCCCAGCCAGCCCTCCTTGGTGACCTGGTTTGGGGTTTGGGGTTTAGGGTTTAGGGTTTAGGGTTTAGGGTTTAGGGTTTAGGGTTTGGGGTTTAAGGTTTAGAGTCTAGGGTTGAGGGTTTAGGGTGTAGGGTTTTTTTTTAAAGTTTAGGGGTTAGAGGTTAAGGCTTTCTTAGGGTAGCTCCAATGGTCCCTTCATATGGGCCCTTGAAAAGGGGACCACTTATACAACCCCTTATATGCCCTCTACAGGCAAGGGATCATATTAACGGCCCATGTAACTACCCTTTAAGAGAGCCTATTTTCCCATTTAACTATGAAGGGATATGCTCCAGCTGCCAATAAACATTTTTTTGTTATTTGAGATGATGGGGCTGAATCTTCGGGCCTAGACAAAGTAGAGGGATGTAGGCCTCGGGAGTCTTGACGTTTGCGTAAGGACTCTGCGTCTTGGAGCTCAGTTGCTTGAGGGCCCCGCTGTTGTCGCAGCACCTTTGGAGGGTGATCTACATG